CTGTTATAAAAACACATTTGGAAAGATTCAGCATCACAGTAAGAAAGTCTCAGGTAGTACAATATTCAAAGTACGCTTCATAATGTCATTATAGCAAGGTTTTACTCTGAAAAGGCCATTCACATTGGGCTTATATGTTTAGGGTGTTCCAGTAACTTCAAAATAGATGCAGTTTCTTTGCAAAAGATGGTCCTCTTGGCTCTGATGAAACAAAATAAGCTTCTAAACAAAGCACTTAAGGCCTTTTTCAGTTAAAAAGTTGCATTAAACAAGTGCTGTGACAACCACAAGAGAAAGATCAGCTGGCCTGGTGACCTGAACTGAAATCTTCTAAAAGCACTTAGGGAGTTGAGTATCCAGACCCACAGAGATAAGCACCCATACACATCTCTGAAAATGCCATCTCTTGTGGTTATATGCTCCATGCAAACGGGTAGAGGATTGAGAAAGTAAAGAGAGAATTTCTTTATAAAAAAGTCTGAAAAAGGTGGTGGCAGAAGCTGCTCATTTTCTATGGAGTCCTTACAGGTTGTCTACCCTGCAGTAACAGTAACATGAGGGACTTTCACACAAGGTGGGAACATTAAAGATTGCCACGCATTCAAAACACCTACCAAAACAGACAGGAGGCAGTTTGTTTTTACAGACAAAATCTTGCCTTTCTGGTACAATCCAACCAAGGTGGAATGTGGTCTAGTGTCCAGTTTCATTATTTCTTTATAACTATGGTGTTAAATTAACAGATTGGTTCAGATGTGTGTACAAGGCAGGTAGAATACAGCAGCTAATGCAATATACAGGCATAAAGAGAAGATAAGTCAATTCCAAGAATGCAGGATTGCAACATATTTCACTAACAAGGCAGGAATTCAAAATGACAGCAATCCAGGCAATGCTATTAGTAACCAAGTAGAAGCCTGAGTGTATGTCAGATTGGCAAGAGTCTAGATAGAGTATTCCTTCCCTATTAACCTGTATTACAAACGTAAGATTAAATTAATGGAAATGGTATATCTCCTCCCACAGTCACCACTCCACCCCTTCTAGTAAAGGAACCCATATGCAATATGAAATCCAGTTTAGTAAACCCTACATGTGTAGCTTATTGACTCAAAAGCTTCAGAGGTAGTTCTACAGTTAAAAGTAGTCAGTTTGTGGATTTGCAATCCAGAGGAACACCCATATAAGCTGCATGCAGGCAATGAATCACTTAAGAGCTTCACATACCAAGTGTTCTCTGTATAACTTGCTGTATCAGAACAATTAGGTCCCAGGCTCTATTCAGGCAACACACAGATACAAGAGTTATATGAAGGGTACATGATTAAGGCTTGGTTTTGGCATTCCCAATCTGGCTGGAAAGTATTTAGGTTCATAGGCAGAGCTTTCCAGTGCAATTACTAGCCCTAGCAAAGGGGGAGAATTGTCAAGGAATGAGTTGATCTGAAGTACAGGAGTAAGAAAATCCAGCAGTCAGCACTGCAGAATTCAATTGTTGAATGGCCTAGAGCAACAGTGACCCTGGTTAATAGCACTTTTGGGAAGGAAGCTTGTATTACTTAGTGGGGAGCTTTTCCCCGAGTCCCCATTGAGAAGCCAATGTTAAACAAAAATAGGCATGAGAGAAGCATTAAGAGGCATATCCTCCAGTTACTTCTTACAAAACTATTCTGTAAAGACCAGGGTAGGATCCTTTGGCAGGAAGTGGCCTGGGAACTGAACTGAGTCCCCACTGCATGGAGGAACAGAGAGGTAAAGTGACTTGTTTTAGTTCAGGCAGCAAGTCAGGAGAAATAGAAGAAGGTATCTATCTCCCTACCCTCTGCTTTAACTTCTGTTGAGCTGCCTTCGAGACATTAGCAGTCAAGAAGCCTTATTTAGAAAAATGAAGGTGCCTCAAAGTCATGCTAGCAGAGAAGTCGGATGAATGTTCAGAACAAGTGTTGCATGTGGGAGAGACTGGTAAGGCTTTCTGTACAAGCGTAAAGGTTTACTTAAAATGCTAACCAAAGAACCCAAAAAGACAGCTGCTTAGCTATCCTGGGTCACTACCCATCTGCAGCCATAGAAGAGGGAGATAGTTACATCCAAAAGCAGACCACTGTATTATAACAATGGTCAGTCTATGGCTTCAGCAGCTTGAAGAATAGCAATGTGCAATGAAGTTAAAGAAGCCAGTGTCCCTTGTGTGCCCCTACTTCCAAGTCATCCGCTTGTAGAATGGATGTACCCTAACTGAACAGAAGTGGAGACGTGAACAACGTAATCCTCTGATGATGGTAACCTCCAGCCAACAGGATTGCAACACAGGCTAAAATAGACAGATCCCAGGATCTAGACTGGAGGGCTACTGCTCCCAAGCATGGGAATAAATGAATGCTGTTAAGACCTGGACAACTCAGGGAAACTGCCACTTCAAAGTATCATGCTCTCTCTAGTTTCAGAAGCCAGAGATATAGAAAGGAAGAGAGTCTCATGTACCTTTTATTGCTCAAGAATGGTAAAGGAAAAAACAAAAAAGAATAATGTTGAAATTGCTATGCTGACTATTAAATCCTCAGCGCTTTACTTCATAGACATAGGCTGTACTTTGCGTAGTTTTTTGTAGTGATCATACTTTCAAGCCTGGCCAGGGCATGGTTTTCCAAGACAGGATCCTATAACGATCACAGTAGGATACAATGCCCTACTGAAATGGCTCTTCCATCACTCAAGGTGGTTGTTTGTTTGTTTTTTTTTTGTTTTTTTACAGGAGTGGTTTTGAAGTGGAACTTTACAGTGAAATGCATTAAGTTGTCTTGAGCAACTGAAGGGCACTTAAAAAAGTTAAAAAAACAAACCTTAAAGTTTAATAGCTTCCTGGAAGCCACCATGTTTGTTACCTTCACTGTGGAGCTGATGCTTACTGCTGATCTGATCAAGACTTTTGCTAGGCTATGAATATTGGTTACCTTTTCTCTTGTGTAGATAAGACTAATCTGGTGGCCAGTGTAGTTCATATTGTAATCATACTCCAACATGGTTCTATTTGTACTACAATGAGGGCCTTACGAACTGCACAAGACACCAAGGACTTTGGCATCAGGCTGTACAATAAGTCTTCCCAGACCCTTGCCCCAGCAAGGTAATAACTGGCTAAGTAGTAAATATAATCCACCCAAAGTAAAGTGTGTCCAAGGACTGCAACAATGCTATATTTATCAGAAAAATCAGTCTGAGAGAATGCTAAAGTGATCTTGGAATTTCTGCTTCAGAAAAAATCCTAGCCCCTGGAGGCTATTTGTTCAGAGGTGGCAGTTAAATATTGCACCCGGTTCCTTAGCAAAAATAAAGTTTCCTCATGATGCTTCCCCTCAGAAGAAGGTACTGACACTTGAAGATCACCTGGGCTGTGCACTTCTTCTAGTCAGTGACCTATGATTTCTGTAGGCAGAGGCAATAAAGGTTTTGAATGAGTGGGAGCCATAGACCAAAGAAGAATATGTCCTCCCCCCTATTCAAAGAAAAAATGCACACAAGCTCCTCACATCCTGTCAGCAGAAGATACTGTAAAAAGGTGGGCAAAAATACCCATTCCAAAGCATACACAAAAGTATTTAGAAAAAAGCACAATAAAATCTGTGTCCAGACAAACTAAATATCAGTTCTTATCAAGTCATGGGGTTGTTGTTTCTGCAATAAACAGCTGTGGACAGGACAGGCCCCAAACAGCACAAGAAAGATGCAGCTTCTGCCTTGCTTTGCAATACTAGTAGCTGCTGCAAGCAAGGCAAAAAACCCAGGTCCCCATCAGGCAGAGAGCTTTGTTTACCTTGGTTGCAGTGAACTCCTTGTATTTTTCCCCAAGGGGGATAATAAATGCTCATTTACTACATTAAAGAAACACCTAGTAGTTTAAACAGTTATTTGGTTACAGAAAAGAATTTTTTAGAAATATTTAGTCAAAAGGGTTTCTTTCAGCAGTTCTAAAACCTGACTTTGAAGCACTAGGCTCCTGCAAAAGAACCAGAAAATAAAGAGATCAGTGAGGTTTCATTGTCCAAAGTGAGTGCAAACATTAAGTGGGAGGAAGTGAGGTTTTTAAATCTCAATAAAAATCAGAAAGCAGGGAGAAGTATATTTCTTCTCCTGTAAGACTAGATCCTCAGCAGTGTAGAGTGGTACAGTTTCATGCCGACTTGTGCCAGCTGAGGATCCTCTGATTTTTGGCCCAACAGTGGCTCTTTAAGGATTATTTGTTTTGTTCTGCACAATTGTAATACACGTATAAGGTCAGAGTTAGATTCTAGATCCCAGTCTGGCTCTGCTAAACAGATAGTTTCAGATAATAAACCATTTCAACATTCTGATGCTTACAAAAAGTAACTATATACACTGGATTCTAAGCACAAGAAACCTCCCACTACCAACTGAAAGGCACGTGTTTAAGACAGTCGGAAAGATGCATACAAGAATTAGCATGGATCTACTGTACTTCCTAGAACTTCACAAAGCATCCCACATGCTTGTTATGACAAGCAGACAGACGCACATTTCTTCACAGCATCCCTGTAAGGGAGAGAGAAATAATGACACAATGTTTCTTATATACATAGACATTTCTTCACCATTTTAATTACAAGTAATACAGTTTGCAGTTAGGTTATAACCATTTGGTTATGTGTGTGTCTGGCAATGTCACTAAAGGGCAAATTGAGACCCATGTATATACATGTGATTTAGTTTCACTTGCCTGTAGGAAGTGGGAGAAGCCCTTGCTGTGGTGTGTGAGGGTGGGGGTTAGAAAAGAGTGGAGATGCCAGAACTGGAAAAGGGAAGGATGTGACTGCACACACATGCATGCACTCACATGAAACGGTTTTAAATGGACAGCTTAAAAACACTCATAAGAGAAAGTAAGCTTCTCACAGGAGTTTCAACCACTAGCTCATCTATAGTATTTTAGACTGCTTGCACTTTCCAAAAGCTATTTTTAAGATTTCATTTCAGACTGTATACTACAACTTATCATCAGAAAGCCTTTTTGTGCTTTAAATTCACATTCTCTAGAACAAGTTATCCCTTGCATGCCTCTTACTTGTGGAAGCAGATACCCAGCTAACTGACCCAGTCTCCACCTCCCCAGGTCCATGCACACATTTCAGTTGGCCCTTAGAAATACTGTAAAATATTTCTGCAGCTGAGGAGACCCATAGTCTGGTCACAAGAAAAGGAAACCAAGGTGGTGATGACAGCTGACAGTAACAACTTGTCAGGAATATTTTGGAAGGTGCCAGGGTTTCAAAGTACAGAAGTTACTAGCCTGGGATTTGACATAGTATTAAAAGCAAATCATGTCCATTCAAGATTACAGGCCCCAGAATTCCACATGTAAGCTATGTCTGAAGAGAGCAACAAGCATGTTTCAGTAGAAGAGTCCTCTCAGATGCTAAAAAGTTTGTTGGAGGTAGGAGCCCTAAGTAACTAGAGTGGAACAACGTACACAGAAATGGCTGCATTTCCATCACTGGTGAAATCAACACTTAGAAATTAGCTGCAAACAATTTAAGAGTAACATGACAAACATCAGGGTTTTTTTTAGAAGCTAAAGATCTTATGGGGAGGCAGAGATATATTCCTTGTCTTTGCACTCTTAAGTGGTGTGGAAGCAAAATAGCTTACCTTGCAAAAGGTATGAAAGAAATGCTGTACCTAAAAAACAAAGAGAACATAAATAAATTAGCAGCTGTTTTGACTGTAAAAACTGCATATAAAAGCAACAATTTCTCCCCATATTAAAAGTAAACATATAGACATCTCTGCATGTATATAAAAGACACTATAATTAAATTAGCGGAGAGAAATGCAGTGTTGCTCCTCAAGCACCCTCATTGTAAACATCTTGGTTAAGCAGGGATTTATATGAAGTGTATGAACCATTCCCCCACAAACCTCATGCATATAAGCCCTGGTGGCATACATGATTAGTCTTCCAAACAGCAATGTACTTCGTACCTTGAGAACTGATGAGATACAGTTATTAAATTCTACAGCATCCAAAGCAGTGAGTCTAGAATGCTGTAAAAATCCTAAAATAGTTAGAAGAAAGCTACCCTAAAAATATCCCTATATAAGCCTGTCAAACTAACTGAAAACAGTATAGTCCCAAATGGAAGAGCTACTGTAAAAGGAAGTGCCAAATGGCCAAAGCAAATCAATTCAGAGAACAGCAGCAACCTTGTATTCAACTGCAAAACAGCTGGACACACTACAGAAGGGAGAGCACAGTGAAGGACTCTGAACCGAGCATGCTCTGCCCCCAGGCCCAGCCAAACAGAACTCTGAGGCAAAGCAGAGACAAGCCAGCTCATCTCAAAAACCTTGAACCTCAGGGTGGTAATTATTTGGAGAGGAAGCTCACGTATGGGTGGATGCAGAAAGAAAACACTCATTTTCCTTATTCACACCAGAGTAAGTCCATCAATACTCTAGCAACTGAACAAAGCTTTAAACCAAATTGTTGGGGAAGAGGGAAATAAAAGTTACTTACCAGGCCAAAGCAAAACACTGTAAAATGCAGAAGATAAGAGCAAGTCCTTTGTTGTGCCACTGACAGAGGGAAAGAAAAATAGTCATGAAACAGCAATTACTTGTATTTTTTAAAAGCGTCCACAGGCCACATGCAAGATTCAAGTACTCACCCAGAAGGCAGAACACAACGTTAGTACGAAACACAACTAAAAGAGAACAGAGAATTGCTGTTAAAGCAGACTACTCCCTAGATATTAACATCTAGCCAAGTTTCATGGCTACAATTTTATATATAGCGCCAGTACTAAGCACTAGTATTAGTGCTTTACTTGGATCAGGTTCACTGTATAATAGTTCCATTTAAAGTGTTCTATCCATGACATTTCTGAATATGAAATAAAGCAGCAGACAGATATTGACTATATCTACACTGGCTCCGCTGTACTCTCAAACCTGTTCCCTGAAACTAAGCCGTACCTGGCTGCTTTAGCTACTGTTTTGTAGTTTCCCCATTTAAACCTGCCTTTTGTTTTTGCTAGTCATTCAAGGATGCAATAAATATACACTGCAAGTTGGCAGTGCTTTTAAAATAAAAAACCACAACAGAAATATCTTACTTTGTGCTAGATACATTTTAAATGGAGGCACTGTTTCCACTTAGCAACAAGCAAGTTCCTGATCTTCTGTCTTCAAAGTCAGCAATACAGTCCTGTGGTACATGTACTATTGTGTGCATTTCATGCTGCTTGTGCGTGGGAATTATGTATGGTGGCTCAGGCCATCAGTATAATGGTCTCTGACCTTAGTCATTATTCTAACACTGTTTTTTCATATTTAAATCTCCTACTAGAAAGGTAGTTACATGTTCAGACACACCATGCTGAATGCAAAACAAACACAGCCAGCCATTACACGAGAAGATGATCAGTTACACATGACTGCACATGTACCTGGATTCATCAGGGAATCAGAAAACAGGAAATGGCACAATGGCGGGAAAAGCTTTGCCAGATTAACAAAAATAATATGGGAGCATTTAAGTCAGATCTCTTTTAAACATAACTGAGGCTGTAACAAATTTGAGGGTTGAGAGAAAAAGCACAAGAGCATAAAAAGAGGGAGACCAATCTAAAGAATTTCCCAAACTGAGAGTGAAAGGTAGTAGAACGTTTTCAGCACAAATGGTACTTTTAAGTAAGTGTTGCAACTTGCAATTGCAGAGGGATGGGGTGGTCACTCTATTTGTAAGCATTTTAAAGTCTATAACCTAAGTCCACTAGAAAATTGGAATGAATGACAGTATGATGAAAGAACTTTGGGGAGGGGAACTATGGGATTCTACTTTGCAGTTGAAGGCAAATACTCTTACTTTATCAAGAGCCTTCAAAACAGAAAGACACCAGTAACCAGTTAGATGCATTTAGCTAAGTTAAGCTCTATACTTTTATTTAGCAAGCTTAATTCATCTACACATAGTTAAAGCATCAGAGTGCTGCATCATGAAACATCATTTACAGGTTCTTCAGAAAGCAGCTAGGATGCTTAGGAGTAACACCAGTAAAGAGAGGGGTAACTTTAGTAGAGAAGCATGTGTGTTTAACTACATTCCAACAGGATTCTTTCCACAACTTTCTAACTTTCTCTCACTTCTCAGCCCTGACTTTGCTTTTATGATTGCATGCCAAATTTCTCCAAAATGACATCTGCAAAACCTGTCATTCCACTTCATGCACCCAAACCACTAGCTCCTGTGTTGTTGTAACCTGGTTTAAACTAAGCTTTCAGAGCAGAGGACCTGCTCTTTCCTGTTATACAAAACAATATATTTGTACAGCATTATAAAAACAGCAATACAGTAAGATTTTTAATAGCACAATGAAGCATTTCTAGACCAGCACCCCTTCCCCCCCCCCA